GTAGTTTGGGATTGCTTGATCTTGGATACGGGCAGTCGCATAGCGCTGGAACGTATTAAGAGAGTAGTTTAATAGAGGGTCATCCATCAGGCCTTCTAAGTCTAAGCCCAATTCAGTGGCTAGAGTTCGAATATCTTTAGAGGATGAATCAAAACGAGGCTCAGGAGGTTTGTTCGGTATTTCAGTCATTTTCTTAGTCGGTTGTTGTCAGCGGATACCGAATATAGTTGTTTGACTTCTTAGAATAAAGGTGCTCGCATCCAGTGAGATAGGAGAGGATGCGAGCTAAGAGGAACTTGAAGAAGGTGTTGCGAATGGGGCGGATTGGGGAGGTCGATCAAAGACTCTGCATGCTGTCTGACGTTTTACTTCAGAGTTCGGGAGGTCTGCACAACCTGCCGTCAGCGAGACTTTTTTTAGAGTGTAACTCAATGACACAAAACAACTAAGGAGTTGTTTGAGTGAGCATCTACCGAGAATAGGTCTAGGTTTAGAATACTCACCCACATCAATCAACTTTGTATGAGTAAATTACACAGAATCTTTGTCGCTCGCCAATCCTGTCTTATATAGTAGCGCTCGGCGATCTTCTACATATTTTTCTCCTGAAAAAATGTGCATCAATGCCGATAGAGTTTTGATATCTTCGTACTTGTATTTGAACGTGCGTGGATTCTCAACCAGCGTCATACGTGCAGTAACAGACATTTCACCAAGACCCTTGAATCGAGTACGAGTGAAGGTTTTATTGTTGTCTTTCGGGTCTAGGCCTAACGCAGCGAGTTCACCATCCATTTCCGCAGGGGTCCATACGAAATGGGTCTCTTTGGTCTTGGTGATTTCTATCTCATATAAAGGGGTGTGAATACGAGACAGTTTGCCTTGGCGGATTACCTCAGGGAAGTGAGTAACGAAGAAAGTCAGGAGCAGAGTCGTGATGTGGTAGCCGCCTCCATCTTCATCCGTAGCAATCCAAATTTCATTGTACTTCATGCCTGATAGATCACTAGGGTTTTCCAGCGACAGACCAGTTACTTCGACCAGTGTAGACAGCTCCACGTTCTTCATACATTGAGCAAGAGACACTTCGAGAGAGTTTAGTCCGATACCTTTGAGTGCCAAGATGCCGATGTGCTCTTTATAGAGTTCGCCAGTTACAGGATTACGTTCCTTCGCGGCCTCCACCAGTGAGCCTGATGCTGATTGGCCTTCGAACAGATAAAGGATGTTTTGAGATGGGTCTTCAGACAGTGGCGGAGTATAGATGTCTAAGGAGATGAATTTCTCTTGTTTCTTCTGAGCCAGTGGAGACTTAGATTTTTGTAGAGACGCTTCACGTGCCTTCTCAGCAGCCTGTCGTGCATCAGTCATTGCGATGATTTGGTCGCAGATTTGATTGGCTTGAACAGGATTTGTAATCAGATGCAGGAAGATGTTTTCCTTGAGTGTCTGATTGATGTAAGACGAGATTTCAGTCGAAGTCAGCTTGGTCTTTGTTTGGCTATCGAACTTAGGGTCAGTGTGTAGAATCTTCACCACGCCTATTGTGCCTGAACGGACGTCCGAGGTAGTGAAGTTTACTTTCTCGTGTCTCTTAGATAAAGGGTACTGTTCTTTGAGATAGCGTAGTAATGCATCAGCCAGCGATTTACGCATAGCTACCACAGGGGCAGAGGCTACTTCAATTGCACCTCCATTCACATATGCTTGGTATTCTTCTTGGCTAGTCGCTAAGATAGCTAGGGCGATTTCATATGAGTTGCCCTCAGGGTCAGTGCCTTCCAGTTTAGGGAAGTTCATTAGTACCTGAGAATCTCCTACCAAGTCCTTGCGTAGAGAATAGATACCTTCAGGCTCGTGGTATACAGTTGTTTCCCCTTTGTCGTTGAAAGTGATCTTTAGGCCAGCATTCAAGTACGCACATTGCTTGAGATAAAGGTGGATATGTTCGGAGCGGTATTGGAAGGGGATGATCGATTGATCTAGTAGCCATGTAATTGAAGTACCGTTTTTGAGGTCAGGAGTTTCCTCTATTTGAGTTACTCCTTTGATGAATCCTTTGTGGAACGAACATGTTGCAGTTACGCCATCACGAGTAGACTGACCCACCAACACTTCGGACAGAGCCGTCACAGCTTTAGTGCCTACACCGTTTAAGCCGATAGATACTTTAAATGCCTTGCCGTCACCCTTGTCATATTTCGCGCCTGAGTTAGGAACACCCAAAGCTACTTCGAGATTCGATCGTTCTTGTTTTTCGTTCCAGCCAAAAGGAATGCCGCGACCATTGTCACGTACAGTAATATAGTCATGCTCTTTTTTTAGAGTCACTTCGATTTCAGTAGCGTGACCGCCCAAAAATTCATCACAGGAGTTGCCTACTACTTCACGCAGCATGTTCATTGGGGCAGAGTTGTATTCGTTGGTAGACGTGTCCCCAATCCACATGCCCGGTCTTACACGCATTTGTGTGATGCCGTCTAATGTTTGGATATTGTCATAGTTGTTAGGTGTTTCGGGGCTGGTCATGAGTCTCTCCGTTAGATGGACAAAGCCCCTGAGACTATGCTAGGGGCTTCTCTTACACATATAGACCCAAAGGCCTAAAAGTCTAACTTCGGATTGCGTACACTGTCCCGTCCATTTCAGCCACGTCACCCGAATCGGTCAGGATGCGGTTGATTTGGTCTAGGCGGTCTAGTTCTTCCGACTGAGCACGTTTAGGGTCTTGCACAGCTTGGATACGGTAGTCTTCGCTTTCCATGTCCTCAAACGCTAGACATTGAATTAGAGACACTACGCCAGCAGGAGCATCGTTTTCAGATAGGGTGTTTTCGCCACGCTTCTTCTTGTACTTGATAAAGACGTTGCGAAGGTCTTGCATTTCGTCAGTAGCCGAATTACGACGACTACCCATGTCACCCAGCAATACTTCGAGATGGCTGTTTTTGGTTTTCTTCGCATATTCCATCAAGTATTGTTTAAGCTTGACAGTCCAGCCTGAGACACCTGCTTTAGACACTTTGAGTTTATCCGCGATCTCTTGGCTTGAGTAGCCTTCAATCATGAAATTAAACATCGCGACCAATTCTTTGCCACGATTCTGCTGCATCAAGTAATTAGTAATGCCGCGATACAACTGATCGGCTTGAATGGTGTCTTCGGGGTTACGATTTGGATTCTTGCCGTGATCGACCATGGTGTCCATGATGTCGTCAGTAGTGTCCATGTTGTCACGGACTTTATTCTTTTGGTCTTTGTGGCGCATTAGGTAGTTCAACACGCTTCGATCTAGAATTGTGCCTAGATAAGGGAGAACACGATCACCACGGAACTTAGAGATATTATCTTTGGTTAAGACATGCTCCAGCATTTCATCCATTACGATGCTTGCCGCTTCGCTTTGGTCGATGCCATAAGGACTACGTGAGAAACGTTTGTTCGCAATGCCCATTAGGTAACGATCAGCATTTGCTTTTTCGGCCTCAAAGACTTTGGCCATGTCAGGGTTCTTTGTTGCAGGGTTTTTTGTCAGCATGAACTGAATCAGTTCCGCCAAAGGTTGCTTTGCCGCATTCACGACTGTCGCAATCACGATCTTTTTCATGCCATATCTCAGGGGCTAAATTTGTATTTGAAAGAGTGTACGTCTAATTAAGAAACGAATATGCTAAAAGTCTAGATCACAAGACACAAAAAAACCCCAAGGTTTTACGCTCAGGGTCTGTCAGATAAAGGAGTTAGTTTACACAGCGCAAGGGATGTTCACTTCTTCGCCAGTGTATTCAGACATCCAAGTACGTAGCTTGCTCAGCCACTGGTTCACGCCATTAGACGAGATTTGGAAGTCTTCTGCTATTTCAGATACAGAGTAGCCTTCTAACTTCATAGACATTAGGCGAGCAGCGTGAGTCTCGAATGACTTGTCACGTGCACCATTCTTAATGCTGTCTTCTGAGTATTTGCGTAGGGCGTGAAGTACTTCTTGTGCGTACACGTAGTCAAGGCTGTTGTCTGAGCTACAGTCAACGCCACGGCTATGCATTACAGCTTGTTCCATGGTCACTTCGTTTGCTGACGCTTCGTCGTATTCATTGTTTTCTTGAGTCAAGTAGCTATGAGTAGCCATGAACTTGCCTGCTTTAGACTCAGCGTCACGGCAGAAGAATTCAAATTGAATAAGGAACCATTTGTAGAACGGTTGGTCAGGCCAAGCGATTGGGTCGTAGCGAGTATAACGCACTTTGTCGTCTTTCTTCGTTACTTCTAGCATGTACATGACAAACGAATTGATGACATCATCGTACTCAACAACCGTGCGCTTGCCACTACGGATAGTGTGTAGCTTAGAGCTTGCATACGCTCGGATGTTTGGATATAGATCGTTGATGAATTTTGAAATGTCTTTCGGCACTTCGAATCCCTTTAAGTGCTCAGGGATAGGTATTGCGTAAGTGCGCCCTTCAGGCGCTTTAGGTGGTGTGCTCACTAGCCCCACTAGTGATATTTCGTCTTTCGATGTTTCTTGTGCCAACGATACGCCAAAGATTGATGCTGCTTCTTCAGTTCTCGTATGCGCCCCGACTAACCCAATTTTAATAATTTCCATTACACACCCAAATTCTTTAGGAAAAGTGAATCTTAAACTTCGCAAGGAATGTTCATAGTTTCCGCTAATTAGTTTAGGTGCTTCAGGAAAAAACTTTAAAATTTTTAAATAGGTACATGCACCCCCACTAACGGCACAGAGAACTTCATCGCTAGATCATCGAATAGTCTCTGTGAGAAGCGTTTGTCATGAACGTACAGCTTCTGAGACACCGTGGACACCAAGGCAAAGACTTCAGTGTCTTCCCCAACCTCTTCGGTCCAAGTGTTGATGTATTGTAACAAATCACGGGTGATCTTGTCAAAGGGAATACTGTAACCGTTTAAGGTGAGTTGCCCTTCTGAGGTATGGGACTTGAGTAGATGACGCAGCAGGTAGATCTTCGCTTGATCATACTTCTCTGTCGAAGTCCACGAACGAGTCAAGTCATACTCAGAGTCCATCTCTAAGTTGTACTGTACCCCGAACGTTCGAATGACGTCTTCGATCTGCATGGCCTCGTACACCAGCGGGGAGAAGTTTTCAATCTCGCCGTCTTTGATCATGTTCACTAATTCATCGTGCACTGACGAGAAGATGCAGAAGATAAAGTCCTCGTATGTGGTTCCTTCGGGTTGAACCATTGGGAGTCTGTCTCCCCAAGTTGGAGACCACTTCTTTCGTTCGATCAAGTCAGAGATTCGGATTGTAGAGATCTTGAGTAGGTCTCCTGCTGTCGATTGGATTGGATGGTTTAAGGCTGTACGCTCAGCATACCCTATGCCTTTACGTCCCTGCTGAATGTCTGCCACAACCGAGCGAAGACGTCCGAACAAGTTCTTTACATAGCCAGTCTCAATGGCAGAGCGTTTAGCACGGAACATGTACGCCAGCAAGTCGGGCAACTCTTGGAAGAAGGCGTCGATCTTTTCTTGCGCTTCCTCAGGAGTTTCACCCATGTTTCTTGATACAGTCCAAGCAGACCCGCCATAGCAGTTGTGTGTAGAGATTTCATTGGCCCATATGCGGTGCTTAGAGTTTGGCACGTTAACGTCATAGGTCTTTCGCATCCCTACTGACTGTTTGAGTACCACTTGCTCTAGACCGAATAGTGTCACTAGATGGTCTTCTGTCGTGATGTCTTTCGCAAGCTTCCAGCCGTCCACAAGGGTCTCTAACGGATGCTCAGGGCTTACCTCAATCCAGTTGTTACGATCAGTCTTGACAATTAAACACTCTTTCTCACCCGATTCAAAAATAGACAAGAGAGGTTGCCAGCCGTCAGGAGTTAGGATTTCAATTTCATGCTTGCTTTGGTTGAACAGAGGAAATAGTTCAGCCAGCGTGACTGTTCGTTGTGCTACTTTTTTGAAGATGCCTTGGTCATAGCGTACAGTCACTTTGGTGTTGTCTGCCATACACAGCGCCAATCCGACAATCTTGGCAATCTTACGTACTGCGCCCAATAGATACGAGTCGTCGTCTGTCTCAGGAATGTACTGATCTTTGTCATCCTTTTGAAGATGTGACAGCTTAGATCGACCATATAGAGCGTCACGGTTAAGGCCATGCCAGTCACCTGATACGTTCTTGTAGTGCATCAGCTTAGTCTTACATGACTCCCGAACCACACATGATCCACATTGTTCCTCATAGAAGGCTTTATCTAACTCACCTTCTAAATAGCAGTAGGTCTTGTTGTTCTGAGTCTTGTAGATGTATCGAGGTGGAGTAGGCACATCCGTTAAGACTACCTCACGGAAGATGACTTTTGGTTCCCCTTCGAAGATCTTGTTCCATTTCGCAATCACGGGCATGTTCACCGATAAAGGTGCGAACGTGGTTGTACGTGGCTCGATTGCTGACAAGTCCATAGAGTATGGGCGATGGATAGGAACATATGGGATATAGACTTCAAAGAACTCAGCGTACGGAGACTGGTTAAATTGCTCTTGGCTGTAGTTGTACNTTTCTTGAGGATATACGTTTTTAACGTCCATTTCTGCCCACGCAGGTAGAGCTGTTATGTGCTTAGCTTTTGCATGGCGGAAGTTGGAGTTGGTGATACCTTGGCTGTTTCCTCCGTATTCCCATGAGTCCTTGTGATACACGTAAGACACCGTTCCCGTCTTAGCTGTCTTCACTTGAACACGGCTACGTTGGCCTGAGCTGTTTGATGATAAACGGCCTGTAGGTACGTTGGTCTGAGAGAATGAGAATTGTACACGAGCGTTAGGAAGTAGATCATCCACGAAGCTATTGGCAATGTACTTACCAAAAATCTTAGAGATACACGTACTAATCTTACGATACAAGATCACCTTACGAAGAATCGGGAAGTCAGGGTACAGTTCGAATAGCTTGTCTAGCACTTCCTCTTTTGTAGAGTACTGTCCTTTTGCATTCGGCTCTTCATTTGGCAGAGGCGGCAGTTTGAACTGTTTGAACAGAAGGTCGGAGATTTGTGCAGAAGAGCCTACATCAATATGACGTCCAGCCATTTCACAGATGCTGTCTACTACTTGCTTACTATACATCAAACAGTCACAGATTGCATTGTATGCATAAGTGATGTTTACAGGCGCACCACAGCGATACATAGAACGGAGTACAGACTCCATCTTTAAGTCGATTTCCAGCGGAACTGGTTGAAGTCGTGATGGGCTGTGCTGATGGTTCGCATAGAAGAAGAATAGGTTTAGAGTTTGCGTTGCATCGGCCGTACAGTAGACAGTTGCCGCAGATGCAGGAAGTAAATCAAAGTTGATGTGGTCTGAGCCCCCAAACAATTCATTGATTTCGACCATTGTTTGTTTTAAGTAAGTCTTAGATAAATGCTTTAAGCCGTGGCGTTTGTTGTTTACATCTAGCATGTAGTCCAATACTTGAGTATCAGAGAAATGAGGGAATGGTTGTAATACGACCCCATGATGCACAGCAA